TGAGACAATAAACGAACTTTACCATTTGAAACAAAATATTGCATCATGTTATTTTGAAATAGATTAATAAATAAATAAGTATTATTAAAATAAATCATAAAACAAAATGATTTGTCTTTATACTGGAAGGGCCCTTTTCGTACAACCAAAATTTATATAAAATGAATCTTTTCTTCCACCACCTTATCGAATATGAAAATCGACAAATTGACAACAAAAAAACAATTATGTCTGATGTTTCCGTCTCGTTTCCGTTTTCGCGCTATTCGTTAATATGACATTTTTATATATAAAAAATACAAGAATTTCATAATAAGATTAAGGCTTAGCTGCCTCTTTTTTTAAAAAAAAAAAAAAAAAAAAATTGTCTTATGTTTCCGTTCCCTCATTAATATGAAACCCAAAAGAAAAAATTTTTTCTTATGTTTCCGTTCCCTCAAAATATGATATTCACATAAACCCTCTATAATATGACATTTCACATACCCCCCAAAAAATTTCCCTCACAAAAAAATATTTTATGTTTAATTTCTTTTTTTCTTTTATGTAATTAAATTTAATATCTTTTTTTAATATGTTCTATGAATTTTTTTTTCCTTTATTTTAAATAAAATTCAAGTAACTTCGCTGACAAGTTTTTTGTTTTGAACTATATAAATTTCGCAGTAACCAAAAATGTAAATGATCACTAACAGAAGTAAATTATGATTGACAGCTGTACACAACATACTGTATGTGGAGTTATAAATAAACGATTAAAAACAGATCCAGGCGATCTGTTTGTTCGCGATTTTATTAGCTAGCAAAAATGCCCTAGTTTTTCAAATTTTCCTAATATAAATTAATTTTTGATTTGTAGCGTATTTGAATTTTTTGAACAAGTTTATTTATCTCTATAAATGATTGCACTTCTCGAAAATAATCTCAGGTTATTGATAATAAAAGAAGGGTCAGAAATGACGTAATTTTCTAAGGGATGACATTACTATATGATTTCTTTATTAGTCCGGAGCGTAAGCGAAGGACTATCTATGTACGAGCGATACATAGGAATAAGATCACGTGATTGTTTGATATCGTGGCATCCTTAACCTTGTAGACCTTTATCCTAAACCGCAACTGTATATGTCGCGTGATATATACTTTAAAAATATTTATTTATACATGGGGTTGAACGTCCAGTATCTAGGGGTTAGATAAATAAACGGGGGTCCAACTCATAAGTTACACGGCCTGATCATTACCGCCGGAACTGATGATTCAGAAAATTGTTACACAAATGTACAAAATTTAATTATTTCGACGCGCATACATAGAGAATGGCAGCCGATCCTACAAGTTTATTCAATATAGGCGAAGTGTTTTTATTTAAATTGGGGCACTGTAGCTTTTGTAAATGTTATTTTATTTCTTGGAATACGCTTTAATTTGCTTTATTATTTTATTTAATGCACTTACAAGACGCTATTTCATGTTATTTGTAGTGAATTTTTAGTAATAACAGTTTAAGTTAATTTAAACTGCAAAATTTGTCCTTTTGATATGGCCTCTTCAGAGAAAGAAGTACCTTTTTTTAGATGTTTCAAAATAAAGATATTAAATTCTTTTTCCTTTTATCATTCACACTATCTCCAAATGCCCAAAGTAACCATTGTAATTCATTTACTAGAAACATTTTTGAGAATAATTCTTTAGCATTATCTAACTGTGCCCAAATTTGAAGTTGTATTAATCTAAGCATAGGATCTTTTGGAATATTAGATTTCTTCATTGATGTATATTTATTTTCTGAAGATTGAGTATCATTACGCATGGCTTTAAGATTTTCTTAAAGACTTGAGATACCTTTCTCAGAAATAAGATCATTAAATTTTCGCCAGAACTTTTGCCTACTTTCATATAAATAAAAATAATTCATTCATAAAGAAACATTTTAATATCATCTTTTAATTCTTGCTTTTCAGTATTAATAGATTTATACATGAAAATCTGCTGACTTGAAATAATGAAAAATGCATTAAAAGATTCTAATAATAGTAAGTTATATAATAAACTATTGTATATATATTGAAAAATATTAGGACTAAATTCCTTGTGCTTTTCAAATAAGAGTAATATTAATGATCCATTTCATATATAAATTCTAGAAACTCGTGACCTGAAATTACATTTGTTATTTAAGATTGAAAATCCTGCTTATAAATAACTTATTCTGAATTTAGAATCTTAAGATGAGTACAAATAGTTTTAAATTCAGAGTGTGATTTTATTGTATTGTCATTTTTGGTTAATTTATAAATGATCTATCTTACAATGTAAGAGAATTTTGAAGCTTCCTACTAATTCTAAAACAATAATTTTTTTAGGCATTAAATGACTATTTGCTGAGAAATAACTTTATGAACTAATTGTTATCTGAAGCAAATTTTTTAAAATAACTTTAATTTATTAGATTTGAATAAAATTAAAAAATTAAGTTCTATTCTGAAATGTATCATAAAAAAATACACTTGAATTTATTTTATTGATTATATTTAACTTTAAATATGAGCTAAACTTATTTTGAAAGTTAATTTAGTAAAGTCTTTTTTGGGTTAATCTATTACTTTTACAAATTAAACTAAGTATATGCAGTGAATATTTGGTAGCTTGAGTTGCATTTTTTTAAATTTATCTTTTTTATTTTATTTTTTTTATTTGTGATATAGCAAAAAAAAGAAAAAGAAAATTTATAAACTTATCTTATACTTTTGATGTAAAAGATTCAGATTATTCGTTTATTATAGAAATTAATTAAATAATTAATCAATAAATTTTTTTCATTTTATTCATTTAGTTTTATTTCTGTGTGAGGTAATTTATTTTAATAATTATGTAATTTAATATGATAACATTGATTTGATTATACAATAAGATATAATTTATAGTATTAACAAGTATTACTCAAAATTAAAAATGGAGCTTTAACTAGTTACAATCGATGACAAATAAGTATCACAGGGTTGCAATTAGTTACAATATTAATAAAAATTAAGTTGCAACTAATTGCAACTGGTGACAAATAAGCATCACATAGTTGCAACTAGTTGTAGTGCTATCTTTACTCAAAATACTTTTCTACTATATATACAAAAAAGACAATCTAAATTTACTATAAAAATATATTCTATTTTCCTAAAATTGCAACTTTTAGTTTTAAAGTTTTGTTTCTTTATATAACTATTTTATTCACTCAATTAAAAATAATCAAATCTAACAAAAACTAGCAACAAGATTTCTACATCTTTGATATTAATCAAGATAATTAAAACAATAAATATAATAATAAATATTACCTCAAACAACACTTCTTAATCCTAATAAACTGATTTTGCTTGATAATAACGAATTGATCAATTATCAAATTATTTACAATTCAAAATATCTCTGATTGAGAAATGCTTATTAATAATTTTGAAGGAACTAAAAAAAGAATGGATTTATTTACTATTTTTTAAAATATAAGTATAATTTAATTTAAATTTTACTTGATATCTCAATAAATATTAAATTAATCATTAAATGCTAGATGTTTCATGATTAAGTAAATAACATTATTTAAGAATAAAATATAGGTTAAAATATAGATTTAGTAAAATTTAACTTTAAAAATGTAGTCTTATAATTTTGATCTTACTCTAAGAATTTGATTTTAGTAATGCATTTAACTTTTAGTTTGAAATAAGAAAAGAAAGTTGAAATTTAATTTTTAGTTAAAATTCTTATTAGTTTAATTAGATTTTTTTTTACTTTATTTTTTTTAAAAAAAAACTTTTTTAAAAATCATCATTTTTGTAGTAAAATAAAATCTTTTAAAAAAAAATAATTTTAGTAAAAGAATTTTTTTTTAAAAAAAAAATGTTGAACTTCGTAAATAAATAATAAAATTTTTTGTGCATTTTAAAAGTTCTATATTTTTTGATAAATATTTAATCTTTGCATATACAAATCATAAATAATATTAAGTTATGATAAATTTTTAAAAAAGTGTCAAAGACTAAATAAGATCCAATTCTTGTGTTTAAGATGAACTTATATTTGAATAAGAAAATAAGGATTTCCTTTTTAATCTAAGTTCTAAATCATCTGCATTTTCATTATTAAAATGTTGTTCAATAATTTACTTTATAATTAATTCATGCTGTTCAGATTGTAACTTTAGAAAATTTAAGATAATTAATTTTTTATGATACCTCATAAGCTCAAAAACTTTCTGAAAGTAATAAATTCTGGTTATTTTACCAAAATTAATCATTAAAAAGGATTTTTAATAATTTAAATATATGAATGGGAATGAAAAAATTTAAACTCTTCTTCTAACTGAAAATAACCAAAGATTTTTTAAAAAAAAAGAGTATTTAAAATAGAAACAAAGATATCAACTAAAAGTTATAAAAGGAGCATTAATCAAAAAGATTTTGTGTATCTAATACTTTACTGTAAGAGATTTATAGATAAAAAATAATATTTATTGATAAGTATAAAATAGTTTAAGTCAACTGTTAAAAATATTTGTGATCTGATGCTAAAATATTATTTCATAATCATTGTATTATAAATCTGTATCTAATTTATGGTGAAGCTTCCAAAAGATGGCTTTATAAATGATCAACTTTACATATTTTTTACTAATTGCATTTTTTTTAAAAAAAAATATTATTGATTTTGAGGTTGCACATAGTTCTTTATCTTACAAAATCATAAACAATTTAAATTGAAATATAAATAATAATATAAAACCTGTGATATTAAAAACAATTACTAATAAATATTAATAAATAAAATGTAACTCATATTCAAGGATTCAGGAGGGTTTTAGTACTATTTTTAACATTTTTTTTATGATATAAATTGTATATTTATTGATTTTTCTCAAATTTTTATTTTCAAATTTTTATTTTATTTTTCATATTTTCTATCACTTATCTCAAAAATATTAAAAACTATTAAAACTATACAAAAATAAAATTGAGACAATTCTACAATATTATTATCATATTAATAAAATGATGTATATTATAAACTCTTATATATATATAAACATATATATATAAAAAAAGTTCTCTTATAGGAAAATTCTTCAAAAAATCATCAACAAAAATCTTAAAGCACAAATAGCGATCTTTTTTTCTCTTAACATTAAAATAGAATGTTATAATATTTTTGAAAAATAGTTACTGTAAAAATTGCAAACAATATTTCTAAAATTAAGATCTATTATATGGATCTTATCAAAAGTTTAACATTGTTATTAGATAAATAATATTAAAAGTTCTCTTTAAACTATTTATAATTCTTTAATTTTAAATTCTATTAAATATTTGTTTGTAAAATGATATAATTAAAATATTAATATAGAATATCCTTAAATAGAAATTAAATCAAATTTAAATTTGGCAAAGAAATTCACATGATGTTTTATAATTAATTATTTATAAGTATTATATATATCATATTATTTATAAAATTTGAGCTAATTTTTGGTACACTTCTTTAATATTTTATGGTTTATTTTGCCAGTATGCTGAGTAAATTTTAAGACGTTTTTATTATAATAATTTAATTCGTTTTATATTTAATTATATATTGTATAAAATAATGAAATTTTTTATTAAAAAATATTCAATAAAGTCTTAATTTTAGTCAAAAATTCTCAGAATTTGATTTTCCTAGTAAATTTTCCATATTATACAATATATTTATTCATATATTGAATAATCAAGAATAAAAAAAATTTAAAAAAAAATCGAGAAAATTTATATTAAAATCTTTTATTAAAATCCATATTTTAATCTAATAACATCAAAAACTAAAAATGTCAAAAAAATCAAATTTTTTAGAAATTGATTTTCTACCAATTCTTCTATATAAAGTATTTTCTTTTATAAAAAAAAAAATATTATTTTTATTTTTACTAATTTATAATATAAATAAAAATATAAATAAAAATATTTTTTATTTTTTATTGTTAATATAAAGAAAAACTAAATGTTATAATTCAAATAATTTAATTCAATCTGGATTATAAACTAATCTAAAATTTCAGTTCAAATTATGAATTTTAAAAATGTAAATAGTAAAAACTTTGATCATAACTAAAAAATTTTAGATTAATTTTAGTATTAAAAATTAGATATATATTAATCAAAATCAAAATTTGATCTAAATTAAATTTAAATTTAGATTTAATCTTATAAAATAAAATTAAATATAATTTATTTTTAGCTTAATAATATTTATTATAATAAATTATATAATTTTTGTAAATTTTTATAATATAAAAAATAATTATTTATATATAACTATTATAATTAAATATTTTTTAAAATTAAATTGATCTAATATTTTATATTATAAATATAAATAAATTTAATATACTATAATTCGAATTATCTTTATTATTTAGATAAAAACTATTTTTTAATAATTTAACATTATAAATTTTAATATTATTATTAATATTATATAATATTTAATTAAAGAAAAATTTATTAGTTATATATTGAATAAATACTAATTTATATATATTAAATTTTTCAAAGTTAAATAAATAATATGTTTAAAAAAATATTGAATTTAGTCTAGATATATATAAATACTTTTTATTTTTATTAATAATTTAACTAAAATAAATGAACTTTTAAAATATTGTAATAAAATAATAGATCTATACTAATTTAATACCTTTTAAAATAATTTATCTTGTTAATATCAATTACTAAATTTAGTAAATTTTTTATAAATAATTTTCTAAATATTAAATTTCTATATATATTCTCATAATATTTAAAAAGTAAATTATAATCTCAAAAGAAATATTTTTAAAATGTGAGATAAAAATTTATTTAAAAATTTATTATAATTAATATTTTATAATTTTTTTTAAATTTATTATAAATAATACATTTTATTTATTAATAATTCATTTATATTAGAAAAAAAAATCTAACTAATATATATTTTTTAAAATATTTAAATTATTAAATTATTTTAAATTTCTATCTAATCTACTTTTAAATAAGTCAGATACAAATTAAATTTTATCTAAAATTTTACCTTTCTATTAAATAATACAATATAATCTAATTGATCATTTCTTAATAGATAATAAATTGTAACAAGTAAAGATAATCTTTATTATTACTTTTAAATTTAATTACATCACAAGCAAATTTAATTGTGTCACAAGTTGCAACTCAATCATACTATTTTTTTTTTGATTGCAATGCTTATCTTTAGTAACAAGTGATTTTACTTATTAATATTTAGGATTTTAGAATATTATTTTCTTAGTTATATAGTTCTCTGTTATATTTAAAGCAACTTTATCAATTTATATATTTTAGAATTTAAGATTTATTTAATCAAACTTAATGATGAAATCAAAAATAAGTTAATATAATATATTATAATCAAATCTTAGATGAATTTTTTAATAAGATTTTAATAATTTTGCTAAATTTTATTTTTTATCATTTTAACAACCTTAAAATAACATTGAAAAAAAAAAGTATTTTTTTTTAATTTTAAATTAATTTTTTTATTTATAACTTGAAACTTATAAAAAAATTTTTAAGCTCTTAAAACTTTTAAAGCTTAATTTACAATTATAGTAAAAAAGGTTACCTATGACTAATCATTTGCTAAGCTAAAAAATAATTATCTTGTAAAATAAAATAAATATAAAATATAAAAAATATATCAATTATGTAAAATATAATAAAAATAATCAATAAATTAGGTAAATTTTGCAAATCTTTATAAATCTGGTGAATCAATATGATTTTTTTGATACAATATATTGATTTAAATAATGACGAAGGATCGCAGAACAAATTATCTGTAAAATATCCAAAAGGAGGACAACAAAATACTAGTAACACCGCAGGCTGGATTATGTAATTGTCACAACTCAATGCGATCCTCTATAAAATAAATAAAAATTATTGAAAAATAACTTAAAATAAATTAAATACTTTACATAGGTGTGTAACGAAAAAAACTCGAAAAGTAATACCCCGAAACTGCTCGTTTAAGAAATTCAACCGGTAACTGCATCCATCCCACGTGGCACGAGAGAAATCTTTATGCCAAATTCCCACTCAATTTTCATTTTTATTTTCGTTGACTTTTATAACTTATTCTTTTAAATAAAAAGGCATCAATATACAGTATCTATTGAAACATCAACCAGCACCTTAAAAAAAGCTACTTACATATGAAATGCAAACAATCTTCTAAGCCGAGAGTATGTTTAAGAAAAGATGTACCATAATTCGCAAAACTAAATTATAAAAATAGAGAAAGCTTTGATGAAAAAAGTAATGAATGGATCTTCAGGATATAACATCGACACGTTATCTTTTATATTTTAAAAAAAAAAAAAAAGAACCTTCTCCTTCACATGAGCAATTTCCTTCAAGAGATAAGTATCTGTATTTAATTCGTCTCTGTTGCATCTTAAGATCCTAATGAATTTATCTTCAAAAGTTCAAAAATATTTTTTGGCGTTTGTATCTAGCATACTCTTCATTGTTTAATCATTTCGGCTTGGCTACCTTGAATCTACAACGACGATTTGTCAAACCTCTGATCTCCTTTAACGCTTGATGCACCCTAAGCAGATCAATAATAACCGAACCATATTTCAATGTGAAACTCTTCCAAGAGTCATAATTAAAAGAACGTTCAAAGTAAGGAATCGTGGATTCATTAGTTTCATGAAGTACTAATTCAGGGACAATCTCTATGCTCGTCTTCATAGTTTGAAAGTCAATCATCATGTTTACATGTTTACATGTTTGAACGCCTCACTCAAATCCTGTTTCAAATTCACCTTTAATAACAGATATGACAAAGTATGAAATTTTAATGTATTTTTATATACGAATTTTTCAATTTGTTTAAATAATATAGAAAATAAATATCATAGCAATTTTCTTAAGAGGCATCGAATCATACAATGTACATAATTTTATAACCTGCCCACATTCCACTGTTTTTCCCATAGAATTAAAGTCAATTTGAAATAATAATAAATAAATACGATAAATATGTTAAAATTCATACCTTTGCACGTACTTCCTTATTTGTATAAAGTGCCCATGATAAATACCATGTCTCCCATCTTTGTTCTTTAACTTCCGATCAACAATAACCTTTTTCATATAAAATGCAAATTAGTATTTACAGAAATAATTAATACCGTACTTACAGGATATTATTATCGCACATAACAGATTGAAATAATAATTGTGAACATTCCTTCGGATAACTACCAAAGAGAAACCAATGGAATTAAATTCTACATACATTTCCGATAAATACTAAGTTGAAATGCTCTTTTCAATATAATTCCTTAATAACATGATCATTCACAGGCTCTGCCTCTTACAAATTCTCTTTAGGAGTTTCGCTTATATTCCTTCGAGCATAAATAATGGTCGGGATGTATTCGTAAGGATAAAGACCATGAAATTTTGATCCGTAAACTCATTTATTATAGTATTTGTCAACAGCATGTTGATCCGCACACGTCTAAGAAAACTTTCTTCAATCTTCAAAATGTTAAAATTACGCGTTTATACATGCCAATTTCGAAGAATCCGCATTAATTTAGAACTTTGGCGTGATTACAACTCGATAACGACGTTGGTCATATTCTCGACTATATTGAAAGAGTCCTCAGCATTGACGAAGATTTTGATGCTCAATTAGTAGAGCAGTATCTGAATTCCAGCTGGAAAGTAATTATATTTGCTGGTGAAGTTTTTTTGGAGGAAGGAATGTCTGAGCCCCTTTAGCGTTACCTGTGCCGAACGTCTTAAAAAGATCTTCATGTTCTGATTTTGGAAATTGGATTTACCCACTATTTCTATTTCTATTTTACAGTTTACTTTCGCAATTCATTTTTTAAATTAAAAAAATTTTTCTTAATGAAATTAAATTCGGCTATCATGACCACTTTGAAGTCGAGACAGCGTTAGGACAAAAGTTGAATATTTCACGGAGCTGGGACGTGATGAGTCACGTGAAAAGTCGTGGCGCCGAACTAATAAATCATAAGTCAATAAATTTGTCAAGGTTTTTTTATTTTATTGGTATTATAGTTTACTTTCTAATGATAATAAATTTATTCGAGAATCTAGAATCTTTATTTTTGAAAGGTCCCATGAAAATTATCGATCTGAATATTTTATTATAACAATTTTTTACAAGAGTTGCTTATTATAGATAAAAGATTAGACTTTTCTATATTACAAAATATAATCCTTCTACATAATACACTTTAAACTCCTTTATTGTGTATGGCCCAGGAGGGGAAAATTAAGAAGAAAATTTTCTTCTTAATTTTCCCCTCCTGGGCCATACACAACAAAAAAAAAAAAAACAAAAATAAAATGACTGGGATTTTAACCAGAAAAACTTCAATTTACGCAATTATCAAAAGTGTTCTCCATTAATTCTCTTGTATTTTTAACTAAAGACCAAAAACCAGCAAAAAGTACTTCCAACTTCTAGCAATCATCTCCCTTGTTTAAGGTTCGGACAGAACCTGGCCACCCTTTGAAAACATTTTCATGGGGAGTAACTTCATTTGACTCCCCATGAATCGCCATTCTATACGCAATAAAGGCGTTTGGCTTTGTCCCCGTTATGTTTATTAGCATTTGCAATGAGGTCTTCAATCGTTAGAGGGAAGGAGGGCGGCATATTTTTTGTTGATTTAATTAATTATTTATTTATTATTTATATTTTTTATTTTATTTTATTTTATTTTAATTTTTTTGATAAAAAGTGAAATTTTGAGTCGACTTTTTCTGCCCTGCCTATTTATTTATATTGGTCAAAAAGATTGATTCCGCCAGCGAGATATTATTTTTAATAAAGATTTAAAAATAATTGAATGGAACTTGCATAATCTTTCTATTTTTATACTAAAATCTTTTTTTAAAACAATTCTAAAATTAAATAATTAATACAAATGGAAATTATTTACCCTGGTATTTATTTACACAGTTGTGTTTAAAGAATATTTTTACCAAAAATATATTTAAGTGATAAAGTCAACACGATAAAAATAGAAAATTCCACTTTTTTTGTAGATAACCGTTCTTTTTTTAATTAAAGACAGAATTTTTTTTTGTTTTAAGAAATTATATTACATCTTTCATAAGACAGATTTCGATCATCAAAAATATCATCCAGATTAATTATGTAATTACATGAGAATATTTTAAGGGTTAAACAAAAAGAAAAGTACAATAGGTAAATGGAACTTTGATTGTTTTATCTTTTCACAAAATAGTAATATTTTATAATTTCATTAATTTTTATTCATTCATGTTCCAACAAGAATGTTGAATGAACTTGCTTAACCAGTTGACTTTGTGTTCCATTTAACAACATAATTGTGAATCACCAATTTATTGAAACAGGAGACGCAATTCAATTTTACTTAGGGGTTGGGGTGAGACGATAATTGATTAAAGGTAATGGCAAACGCCATTGGCCAGAAAACTTTGAATTTTGCGATCATACATTTATAAAAATATATGTTTCTGATCGTTCAACCTTCCAATATCCATCATGAAAATGATTGTGAAATAAACGATGTGATGTTAATCATTTCCTTTTCTAGTCTATCCATAAATTGCAGAAATATTGCTACTACCATAAGCATAGGGTGTCCAGGAATAGTAACGGCAATAGGAGTAAATTCAACGCAAATATTTACCATTTAATTGTACAAATGTTTATTAGATGAATGGAGTATTTACAGTAGATTAGAAGAAATATAGAAGAAGGAGAATTGGATTTAGGAAAGAAAAAAGTATTAATATTACAAAAATAGCATTGATTATTTTGTTACCAGTATATAGAGCGCAGTTTTTATAATTATAAACGCTACTTAATGCTTAATTTTTTATAGATTTTTTTTTTTGCGAATTATTTTTATATTATTTTACATTTAATAATTTTAAAATTTAAACATAATTATTACCAGAATTATAAACACATATCATCGCTATTTGCACATGCATATTTTGAACTAACTTCAATAAGGTGATTTTTTTTTTAGTTACACCAACCGATCAAAAAAATTCAAATGAGTTGTTTGAAAAAATATTATTTCAATTAATAAGATCAAACGCTATGAATACAAACTTTTTTAGCAAGTTTCAAGAGATTGGTACAGGCGGCTTTGGAAAAGTCTATCGTACAAATTGGAAAAGTTCAATGCAATACCACGCGTTCATAACTTTAACAACGCCACTGTTAAAGAAATAATTTGTGAGGTAATTACAAAATGTAAAAGAGTTTAGGTCTCTATTTCAGTCTGTTAAGTATATCATTTATACATCAAACTTAAATTTATATTTGTAATAATTTAGCTATTTAGCTCGAACTTCAACGGGACGTTGATTTTAATTGTTATACCATCCGCTTTTGTGGGATTACAGCTTCAAACCAAGGTATAAAATCTTATTTAAATTATGTTAATTAATGATATATTGGCTTTTCCATTGTATTTTTAACTCATTTAAAAAAAAAAATTAGAAAATGATCAATTAAAAAAAAATTAATTTGTAATGGAATATGCTGATGGCAAATACAAATTGGCGGCTAGTGCTGATGTCGTGTTTACATGACGAAAGAATTGTGCATCGTGATCTGGTAATTACATAATATATCTCATTTTGTTTATTATGA